CTTGTGTCTTTTTGTTGAGGTGGTATAATTTCTCAACCGGTGAAAGACGCTTGCTTTTGATGTATACAGCCGTGAACATATCTCGGAATGTTGACCATGAAAGGTAGTCCCCTTTAAACACATCTGTGTGTAATGTGTGGATGTTATACAAAAAATTACCTTATAGTGATGGTGATGATGGCCGGTGGACGTCCTGATTCGCTCCCTGCTTCTATGAAAGTGCCAAAAAAGTGACTAGCAGAATCGCTACTGAGTAAAGTTAACGAAACTATTGCCAGTTCAGTGAAAACTAAGAGCGGTTTGTGTCAACAGTTAACTGGCAATRGTTTGTTAAATGGGTTGGTAAAAAGAAATTASGCACTGGCCTAAACAATAACGGTATAAAACTTTTCAGGAATAACTTCYTTAGTGTGTGCCACCTTATGATCAAAAACTGTTCAAATCCAACAAAAACTATTCAAGCTCCCAGGTACCGAATATTGGGATCCCAGTACCTATAGTTGACCTTTGATGGAAAATATTGGTCAAAGTGTGATATACATAACTGACATTAAGAGATAATACTTCTCTTATAATGGTATGTCTGTGTGTAAAAAATGGGTTGAATGGGACTAATAATTCCCTTAGATCCCATATACTTAATATAAAGATTTTCGAATCAGTGTATCTTTGCGCCTAAAATAGATAAATATGTGCGAAAACTTGACTTACCCCGCATATAACTAATATCAGGACTTTCGAACATCCGGCTGACTTTTCTCAATCCGATTAGTTTTTTAGTAAGTGAAAAGTTAATAGCATGTGGTATTCGATACATATAATGGTTTTTGATTTTCTAACAAACCTTATCCCTTTCAGACCGTGATGCATCAATTGTGCGGTCAAGTTTCAATGTCAAGATCGCTACTATTTATGCAGGTATGTTAAAAAGGCCGAAATGCATCGATTGTGCTGATTATTGTGTACCTTTTCTTTTTGCACTGTTTCGCTATTCGGTTTACCGTTATCCACGTGGTGCTGAAATTCTTAAGTCGTATTTCGATTTTTTCAAAGAGAGCTGCGGCAGTAAGTTGTATTTAATATTATTAAAATATTATTAGTGAAAAAATAGTGAAGAGTGCTTATTATAACTAAATAAAATATTAAGTTCTAATATTTAAAATAAATAGGAGTGATTCAATGCAAAGTAAGTATGTTTTAGCCGTACTTTTCAACAAATGCATCAATTGTGCGTATCAGGTCTTAAGTAACTAAACACAAGTGCTTTTTCGTGCATTTCATTTCAAAGAAATTCTTACAGATGATAATATTTTGGCAGTGCTAGAGGCCTCAGATGCCCCCGATTTTAGCAGCGATGATGAAGAACGAGACAAAAATTATGAGCCATTGAACAGCACCCACAGTGAATTCGAAGAAGCAGATATTGAAGGAAACGTAGGTGCAGTGCTTCCTGAGTTAGGTCACGAAGAAAATATTGAACCGGTTAGTATGATGGATATGCCTGTTGCAGAGGAAGTTGTAAGTTAAAAAATTGTAGTAAGTTTTCTTCAAATACTTTGAATTTCACTTTGGATACGATTTGATTTTGCAGGACTATGCAGTAGATACGCCGACACCTCTAGAATATTTCGCTAAATATTTTGATAACGTATTTTTCGAAAATGCGGCTAATTGTACTAATAGATACGAATTTGCGAATGCAGATGGCATGTTAAAAACAACCACTAAGGAAATCAAAAACTATTTTGGAATGCACATTGCAATGGGTTGCATTCACTTTCCTAGAATTCGAATGCATTGGCAGAACAAATTTAAAAATCCACTGGTAGCGGAAACAATGACTCGCGACAGATTTTTTAAGTTAAGAGAAGCATTCGTCGTTTTTCCAAGCGACGTTCCTGAAACTCAATTCATCAATTTCAAAAACTTCACTCAGATGCGAACAATATTGCTGTTGCCGGCCCGGTGAATCCATCAAATGACACCACGTTAAGCAAACGATAAAATACGGTGGAAGCATTGTAATGGCTCCGAGCCGTTTCACCTGGTGGAACATGGGACCACTGCACGAAATAAAATAAATAATGAACAAAGAACCAAAGAGAGATAGAGGATGGAGTCATGTGTAAATGTTCACTCAAGTAAGGAAAGTTCTCTGATCGCATTCACTTGGGAGCGGCCAGAAACGATTCTTTTACATATGACTCTAGCAGCTCCGTTTGAAGGCGAGCTAAAGTAAGAAGGCCCCCCACATAGGGTTTTGCGCCGGGTGTGGGATCCACCACGTAGAAAAAACCCCCAATGAAAAGTAACAATCAACCTCGGATGAGAGACCCTCTTTTGATGACGACCATGGCAAACGAAATAAGGACTACGAATTGGAAAGGTGCCGCTACCCAGCTGGTTGATGTCCTCCTGAAAATGCGACTTGCCTCTCATGTCACTGTTGACGATCATAATTTTGATTGATTGGTTTTGGAACCAGCGTAAATACCACCAATAACGTCAGTCTGCGTGCGTCTTTGCACTAAGTAGGCAATTGAAAAGCAAAGACCTCTCTCGACGAACAAAAACCAAACTCTATAAGTCACTCATAATTCCAGTTCTGCTATATGGTACAGAGGATTGGACGATGACAACAACTGATGAGTCGACGTTGCTAGTTTTCGTGAGAAAAGTTCTGCGAAAGATTTATGGTCCTATGCGCGTTGGCCACGCCGAATATCGCATTCGATGGAACGAAGAGCTGTATGAGATATATGACGACATTTCATTCAAACATAGTTCAGCGAATTCAAAGACTGCGGCTACGCTGGCTAGGTCATGTTGTCCGAATGGACGAAATCACTTCAGCTCTGAAAATATTGTACTCAATACCCACTGGGGGGAAGCAGGGGAAGACCTCCACTCCGTTGGAGGGACCATGTGGAGAAGGACCTGGCTTTGCTTGGAGTATCCAATTGGGGCCACGTAGCGAAAAGAAGAAACGACTGGCGTGCTGTTGTTAACTCGGCTATAATCGCGTAAGCGGTGTGAAGTTCTAACAATGAAGCTGAAATAGTGTTTCAGCCGAAAAGAGACCGGAAGGACATTGCAGAAGTCGTGCTAGCGGACCAAAATATCCAGGTGATGAATTGGCCGGCTCAAAGCTCTGACTTCAATTGAAAATTTGTGGTCAATAGTTAAAAGGCGATTGGCACAATATTAAACAGCTCCATCAATTCTCAAAATTTTTTGGCAAAGGATGCTTGAGGAGACGCGCTTTATACCCAAAGAAGTCTTGGAAAATGTTGTCGAAAGTATTCCAAAACGTATGGTAAGCGTTATGACGACGCGGGCTTATGGACCAAATATTAATATAATAGTACAATTCAATTTAACATTCTTGCTTGCAGATAAAAAAAAAGGTGCATAAAAGAGTGCATACCCTGCCAGCCAAAAGTGGTGAAAAAACTAGTGAAAGACCAGGTTTTCAAACCGTCAAAACTCCGCCATAGGCGCTGTGCAGATTATAACCACTTTGATCATATATGTGATATATGTAACTGAAATTAAAAGAGAGCCCTTCTCTTATACTGGCCAAAAATGCGTTGAATTAGACCAAAATACTTACTTTAGCCGCCATATACTAAATGTAAATGTATATATCGGCCAATATGTGAGTTATCCCAATGAAAATAAGAGAGCTTGTTTTATTCATAACACTGTGCAAAACTTGACCTAGCCCCTATGCTATATACTATAGCTAAATCAGGATTTTTGAACACCTGGCTGACTTTACTCAATCTGATTGGTTTTAAACCTTAAAGTATTTCCCTGGCTGTGATGCTTCCAAGTTGCAAGAGTATAAAATATTCAGTTGCACCCGATGTTCGCCTTTCCTTACTTGTTTTCATTTCCTTTTACTATTCGAACCTCATCATAGTCGGCCAATGGAACATCTATTCCATCGTCATCGAATGCGGAATCGGGTTCACTATCGTCCGATGTTACATTTTTACTGCCGTTCACCAGGTTGAAGAAGTGGTTCTCTCTGATTAAGAATAGAAAATA